GCTCCGGGCGCCCGCGCAGGCCGGGGGAGTCAGGGTCCCCATGCTCCTGGCGCCCGCGCAGGCCGGGGAAGTCGGGGTCCCCACACTCCGGTCCCCACGCTCCGGGCGCCCACGCAGGCCGGGGAGTCAGGGTCCCCACACTCCGGGCGCCCGCACAGTCCAGACCTCCCTGTGCACCTGGTGCTGTGTCTCGGGGCAGGCGCCGCTCAGGTCCCCCCGGCGTTAGGGAGCATTGACTGCGCCCCAGTCACACCCCAAAGGTGCTCCACAGAGCAGGTGACGGGGTCTCTGCTGACGGTGCGGCAGGCGAGAAACGCGAAGCCTGTTCCTTGAAACAAAGTGCAACTCGGTCTCACACCGTGGCGTCGGGGAGACAGTCAGCGGGCTTTCCGGAGGCGCTGCTTGTCGCGACCGGACGCAGTGTCTATCAAAGGGACGCGCACAGCCCCGGCCGCTTACATCTATGGAAGCAGGAGAACGGAAGTGAGTGGACGACGCGACTCAGGACCGGAAGGCCAGGCAGGAAACGGCCGGTCCCGGGGCAGGCCCGAACGCCTGAGCTCGCCGCGCCCGGGCGGCCTGCAGCTGAGGGAGGCAGGGAGGGCACAGGAAGCTCGGCGCTCCCCGGCTCAAGCCCAGCGCGGCAGCACCCCAAGGCGGGGGGCTCCGGCCCGGGACGACCCCCAGAGCTGGGCACGGGCCGTGTGCAGGACCGGTCACACAGGCCTCAGGCAGATGGCCAGCTGCAGTGGCCAGCCCGGGACGTCGCACTTCCGAAGGGTCATCGGAAGGTTCCACAGCAGCCGGGAGGCCGTGTGACCCCGAAAGCCCCCAGTTTCGAGGTCCTGGCCCAGGGCAGAAATCAGCACACTGACTCAGACACAGGCAGACAACGCAGGGACTCATGTGGGAGGTTCACAGCTGCTGAGGGGACCCAGCTCGGGGAAGGGGGCGGGGGCAGCGCTGGGCACCTGCAGCAGGCGTCTGTGGACAGGTGAGCAGGTAAGCAGGGGCCAGCGGCCGAAGCGAAGCCTCCGGAGTCCAAGGGGACACACCGGCCCCCGCAAGCCCGAGCGGGGGGCTCAGTCACGACGAGGCGCAGAGGCAGCCACAGAACAGACATGACCCCCGCCCCCAGCAGTGGGCACCGACACAGCCGAGCCACCGCCGCCGGGGCCGGCGCGAGGCGGGAGGACGGGCCGCAAGCAGGACAGCGGCCGGGCCGGACTCGAGTCTGCAGGCCTCAGGGCAGCAGGACACAGCAGCTGCAGAGCCCCAAGGTAGGCGGGGGGGGCCGCCAGGGCCCCCCAGGGAGCAGACGGTAAACCCCAAGTAACAAGTGCAGTGCAGGAGGCCAGGAGGAGGCAGGCAGGGTGGCCACCTGCCATGGGGGAGGGAGCAGAGGTCACGGACACAGAGGGCAGAAAAAACGGCCACAGAGGTGGAGGCCACGGCCACAGCGGGGACAGTGGTCCTGGCCACGGAGGGCCCCACGTGTGTGCCCGTGTCATCCACCCTTCTGTGCTAGGCCCTGGCCCTGGGCCCGTGTCGTCCACCCTTCTGGGCCCACCGGCCCTGGCCCCACGCCCAGCAGCCTCCACGTGCAGACCACCCCAGAAACTCGGGCCCTGCCGGCGGCGCGGCTCCCAGCACAGAACCCACCGGGGTGACGGGCACTGCCAGGAGTGGGGCCCGCGCACAGCGTTCACCCCAAAGAGCGAGGTGGCAAGGGAGGCCTGCAGGCGCCTCCAGACACCGGGCCCTCCGTGCGAGTCCTGCTTGTTTTTGAAAACAAGAGCC